GTAGACAGCCGACATCTGAAAACAAGGGCACAGAGCTGCTGTCGACGCCCGAATCGCGACGGGGCTCATGGAGAGCCCGGAGGCCTGCGATGGCCAGGGGACAGCACAGCCACCATGGACCCGCCAGCCCCAGTCCCTCACTCTGCAAACGAGTGCTTGACCCCAGCCCAAGGCTCCTCTGCCTGCGCTGAAGCTCCCCGAGAGCCTCTCACGGCGCTGCAGGAAGACGCTGACAGACGCCAGCCCAATTACAGCTGACTAATTGCCCAGGGAGGCGACCTCGGAGACGGGCTCCAAGCAGGGACGATGGCAGCCACCAGCAGGCGTTTACGTGCAGACACATCCTTCCCCCAGTCCCTTTTTTCCGCTTTCCCGCGTTAACATGAGCGGGCTGGAGCTGCCCACCCTCCCGGTGAACGCGGCGGCCCCGCAAACGGAGCAGAGCTGTCCCCAGAGGCGTCCCCCCCCAGCCCCACGATGTCGCACCATTTTGGGGTTGGGTGTCTCCGGGAGGGATGTGCCGTCGCCAGCCTGTCTCTCTCCAGGGATCAGGCGAACCGGGACCTCGATGGTATCGCTCTGGCCTGCCATGGAAGGAAGAGACAAAATGGTTGGGAGCCCCTCCTGCCTCTGCCCCCCGGGGCTCCGTCAAGGACCCCCCATCTGCTGGGACCTGGAGACATCCTCCCTGCCCGGCGTGCAGCGGAGCTCCGGGAGCTCCCAGGGCTGGGTCCCAAGGACAAGGACGCAGGGCGGCCGACATCCCCACGCGTGGCTGCGTGTGCAGCGGGGAACGCCTGACCGCGGGCAGCCGCGGGAAACACGGTGCGTGCCAGAAAGAAAGCACAGCAGAGACAGGGTCCTCCTGCGCCTCGCCCCGTGCCTCTCCATTTTCAGTTTCCTTCTCTAGAAAACGAGGATGTTGTTGATCTCTCAGTCTACCCAGCTGGCAGATTTGGAAGCTGCCTATAAATCCTCCGCACCAGAGCAGCACTGCGACCGCCACGTGGTCAGTGGGTTCCTCGCCAGTGCCGCGCACAGGGGGACGGCGCCGAGCCGGGGGTCTCCACCACAGCGTTTCAGCCCAAGAGACATCATCCAGGGCACAGAGGGGAGCTTGCACCATGGCGAGGACTCTCCAGGTACCAAGGCGTTGCGATGTTGTGGGTGTTTCTTTTTTTGTGGTTTCTTTTCCTTCGGCCTCCCTGGGAGGTGCTGGGCACCGGGACAGCCAGGGTCACCCCACACGGCAGGTTGCGGTGGGCAGGTCACGGTGGGCAGGTCGTGGTGGGCAGGTCACGGTGGGCAGGTCACGGTGGGCAGGTCGTTGTGGGCAGGTCGTGGCGGGCAGGTCACGGTGGGCAGGTCACGGTGGGCAGGTCGTGGTGGGCAGGTCGTGGTGGGCAGGGCACGGTGGGGCGGGCGCGGGGGGGCGGGCATGGGGGGGGGAC